GAGCTACTCCTCTTGTAAGAAGAAAGGCCTGGTTCCCCAGACCCGGAGGTGGGGGTTGCTACCCCTGCTCATTTAAATCTGACTGATCTCTAATAACTGGATCAAGATCCACATTCTTCACCACTAGAATAAAAGATAGCTCAAGTAGTCAGGTGGTGGTAGAGCACCAATTTAGGGATGCAGAAAAGGGTGACCCACGTGCCCCAGGTAAGAAGATGTTCCTTCCTCCTTTCCTCGCTCCCTCGCTCCCTCCTTCCCTCCTCTGTTTCTTCCTTCCTTCCTTGTTTCCTCCCACTTTCTCGATGTTGGGGTAGAATCCAAGGCCCCACATGTGCTCATCACATGCTCTTCCACTGAGCCACACCCTCAGGTCCCTCTGCACAGAATGCAGGCCTTCTCTGGATTACCAACCCCACAACTGAAGGGAGGAACCTGGTTTCAGGAGAGTGCTACATAGTTTCCAGTGGAATCTCTCATGTCCATTTGCCACACAGCCAAGTCACACCAAATGCAGGCCATCTGGCTATTCGTCTGACCCTGCCTAACACTGAACTACTCCCCCAGCCCCAGCTCTGGGCTTCTTAGTGAGCAGTGCCTTGAGATGTCTGAGGGCTGTTCTCGCTTTATAGGTAAGTCGGCACTTTAAAGCATGGAGCAAAACAGCCTTGTGGGTTGGGCTCCTCTACTCCATGCTGTGGGTCCCCACCTGTGGCACTGGGACTCAGCTCCCCACCCTGGCTTTGGCACTGTCCTCTTGTGATCCCCAGTGGCAGCCTGTTCGCGAGGGACTATGCTCATTCACAGCATGGCCTTGCTCTCTCTGTTACCACAGGTCCTGCTGGGTGCTGCTGAACTGGATTCAGCCTTCTGCCTACATCCGAAACAGCATCCCCCAATAAAAGCCAACTCCAGAACATGCACTCCCTCTCTCTCATCAGCCTGTGGTGACTTTCTCTTGCCCCACTTGTGGGAGCCTGAGGCCGGGAGCTGGGGAAGCCGTCCTGAAGCTTATAAAAAGTATTCTGTGTCTGTGTGGTCTTTTCATGTCACCCCAGATTCAGATTCACACGAGTGACTTTGGTTCAGTTGCTCGCACTGGCTGGGGGCAGCAGTGGGGTCTCGGGGGAGGTCCTGAGGTCATTGGAGGTGTGCCCTTGAACGTACTGTGGGACCTTGGTCCCTTCCTCTCTCTCTCTCTCTCTCCCCACTTGCTGGGGGTGAGGTAAGTAAATAAATAAGTAAATGATATAAAAAGTAAAATGAATTTAAAGACAGTTTGGCACCCAAACTGGGAAGGTAGCTAACCTTACCTCTGTTCATCTTACTGGAATGTTACAATTTTTAGGAATAAAATTCAGGAAATATAAATTTGTAGATGAAATCTGATTTCATTGGTGCCCACCCAGGGCCCCTGCAGGGGGACAGATTTCAGTTTCCATTCTCAGCCTGAGGATGCTGGGGTGGGAAAGTGCAGGCTATCAGGAAACTAGAAAGCAAAGAACAACTTGGGACTTTTACTAAAGGGGCTCTGTTACGTCTTGATTGTGAAACACGCTCATCGTGTAGAGCCCAGGACATCACAACTTGGGAAGGATCCACCAGCAGAAAGAACCCTCACCAGATCAGCCTGTGCCAAGTGTCCTGCAGTGGAGTTGGACTCAGAGCTCACTAATTCAGGGTGAATCCAATTCCTAGGTTATTTCCAGCTCTCTGCTCAGCCACCCGCAGCGATGGCCTTGTCTTCATGCTGGCAAGAGGAAGGGGCCAAGAGACCTTGGATTTCATGCATGTTAAATAGCTTCTAAAGAAGAAGAGAATTGAGAAGAAAAACCTCCCAGAAACCATCCAGAGGGTCACTTTCTGTCTTATTGACTAGAATTAGCAAAACCAGTCAGACCCACTCTTGGAACTGGGTGTGGTACAGGAGAGTCAGGCTGCTCAGAGGTGTGCAGTGGGCAGGAGGGAGGGGATCCCTGAGCACATTCAGAATCTGTGAGGAAGGGCAGATGCAGCGGGAAGATCCCTGCCCTCAAGCTAACGGTATTGGTGCCTTTGATTCCTATCTTGTCCTCACCACCTCTCATGAACCACACTGGGACGACTGGGCAAGGCAAAGCCTGCGTTGACCGAGGATCTGAACTCCACGTGAGCGAGGATGCTCTGCACCCCCTTACATCTGCAAACATTGCAAGTTGGAATTGGAGCAGCGATGACCAGCTGAATGGATCTGTGTGGGGTGCGGCCCAGGCACTTTTGTTCTATACACGGCACTAGCAAGGGATACCCCTAGCAAGGACTTCCACTTTGATGTTCTCATCATTTGTTGTAGGCATTGCCCTTTAACTTCTGAGACATCAGACAAAGTATCATCACTTATTAGGATCTTTTCTCTGACCTGTAGGAATGGCTAAACTTGGTTTGCCAAGAGGTTTATTTGAGAGCAGCAATGTGGGCTTTGGCAATTTGTTTCGCCTCTCAAAAGTTCCAAATTGTCATGTGAAGGCAGATGTTACGGTATTCTATTCCATCGGTGAAATTGAACACAAAGAGAAGTTTTGAGTTCTTCAATAATTGCATCTTCAATAATCCCCAAAGTTGCAAATATGCTAGTCTTAGCTGCTGCTGTGATGAGTAATAGTTTTATTGTGGCTAATTAGACCCCCCCACATTTCCAGAAAAACAGGACACTTTTATTTGGCTCCCAATGGTTTTTTAATATAGAATAAGGGGTTTTGCATGTGAATTCTGGAACCATCCTACTTAATTATCCTATGTTTTAAGGTTTTGTCTGAAATACTGGGAATTGGTAGGTTTTCTTGGGATAGCTGAGAAAGTGCCCCCTATGACCAGGAGAGGGCAGCAAAGAGTCCCCTAAGTCAGGGCTCTGGGCTGAGTGCTGT